CTGGAGAAACAGATGTCAAGTGTCGGCAGAGAGGTGGGGAAGGCGCAAATGTGACCTCAGCAGTTTACATCTGCTATGAAAATGTCATTACGAATCCCACTGCCATATATAATTAATACAGTCTATAAAAACGCCTTTTTTAAAAAAAATTAGAGGACTGGAGAGAAAGCCCAGCAGTTAAGAGCACTTTCTACTGTGTCATAAGGATCCAAGTTCAGGTCCCAGCACCCATGTTTCTCTTGAACACCTGTAGCTCCAGCTCCAAGGAATCCAACATCCTCTTCTGGTTTTCCTGGACTCATACACATAAACACATTGACACACACAAACAAAATATCAAAATATTTTCAGTATGGTAGACACGTCAGGAATGGAATATGAATTTATGGTTTATTTATCAGTAAAAGAGTGAAGTTATTCCTTCAGAGAAGGGATGGAGAGAAATGAGAATTCGGAAGCCAAGCTTGACAGAAGCATAGATAAAAGACTGGTCATGTAGCTAAGTTAGGTAGAGGCAAGGGAGTTAAGAGAAAATTAGTGCCTTGGCTATCAAATGGCTATCACCAGTGGAAAATGCTAGAGTTTGGGAGGGATATATACTGAAATGTCACTGTGTTCAAGAGTTAAATTCAGGGAATAAGAAATAAAATTACATCAAGCTGACAGTAAAATAAGTAGGTATTTTGATCCCCAAGCTTCCATCATTTCCAAAAATCATACCCTACAGTAAAATCATAGCCTTACAGGAACACAATTCACTCTTTTCCAAAAGACTTTAAATGTGCAGCACGTTTAGAACAAGCAAAAATGTGGCCATTTGGCTTTTGAGGAGGTAACGGGCGTCAGCTATATAAAATGTCACTGAAACAAAGGCTCCTGGCTGAGATGAGATGTGGGTAAGCTCCATGCACAGAGCCCTGAGTTCAGGCACCAGCACCTCATGGATAGCACAGTGAAGCACTCTTGTAACCCCAGTGATCAGAGGGTGGAGGGGAGATGATCAGATGTTCGAGGTCATCCTCAAAGCCCACCTGTGCACTTGTGTCAACGATGGTGACAAACTGTGTTTTCGGCTGAGGCCCAAAGAAAACTGAATCCGGCACCTTTATTTAGTCAGTGGGTTCAATTTCCCTTTTAAAAGTTCAAGGCCAGCCTGGACTGTATAGTGAGTGGTTGTCCATCCAGAGATACACAGCAAGACTCTATTTCAAAAGCAACAAACAATGCCTCTTTTAAAGTACTGGGTTAAACTTCATCCCTACATGAACCTTAAAGACTTGTGTTTATGAACTCATTACCAAAAATCAAACAAAACAGAGTAAGAGTTCCTGCTTTGACCTACCAAGTCAATGGCGCCTATTATTTTCAACTTAGTTCAAACAGCAGTCAATCCTATTGGTATCCAGTGACATCACAGAAACAAATTCTTTCCCAATGGCACATTTGGCTTTTCTAAGAAGCCATGAAAAAGTTGAGAATACCCCTGTGTGTTCTTACTATGGAAGGTGAGGGGCAGCAGAAATCTAAAATTCAATTCTATGCCACTGTCACCATCCCTTTTCAAGAGGACTTTGACAGCCTATGTCAGCTCAACCAATGGAATTTGACAACAGCCAATGAGACAATAACTACAGAAGTTCCAAACTTAAGGAAACAAAATCTGGTTGCTTTTGAGTGATCAAGGGGTTTGATTTCTCACTGAAATGTGAAACCATGTAAACACCTGCCCTGGCACCATCAAGCCACCAAACACCAAGCCACTAAACCAGATTGCCACTTTTTCCAGTGATGACGAATTATTCGGTCAGTGGAAACACCAGGTCCTTCCTGCCTCGTGACATCCCCCCACCACACACTCTCGTGGTGTGTGTGTGTGTGGTGTCTTTCCTGCATGATGCACTGGGCCATGGCTTCATTAATCAGGAACTTAAGGGTGGGAATTACAACACATGATAGGGTCTATAAAGGACAAAGAAGAGAGAGATTTCTGTCAGTTTTAATTTCTGTCATTATTTCCAACACTTAAACAATCTAGACATGATTGTTTAGTGAACAGATAAAACTTCTGAGTAAAAACTGTGTGGCCCTGAGGTCAAGACTCTGGCTACTACATCAAAGTTCCTGTAGTGGCTTGAATGGGTGTGGCCCCCATAGGCTCATGTGTGAATGCATGGCCCATAGGGATTGGCACTGTTAGGAGGTATGGACTTGTTGGAGGAAGTGCGTCACTGCAGGGGCGGGACTTTGAGGTCTTCTATGCTCAAGCTATGCCCAGCGTGGCACACAGTCTCCTTCTGCTGCCTGAATATCAAGATGTAGAACTTTCAGCTTCCTCTCCAGCACCATGTTTGCCTGAGTGCCACCATGCTTCCCACTATGACTATAATGGAATAAACCTCTGAAACTATAAGCCAGCCCCAATTAAATGTTTTCCTCTGTAAAAGTTGCTGTGGGAACCAAAGGGGTTCCTGAGCACAGGGGTCTTTCCTCAGACTGATACTCCAACCAAGGACCATGCATGGAGATAACCTAGGACTCCTGCACAGATGTAGCCCATGGCAGTTCAGTGTCCAAGTGGGTTCCATTGTAATAGGAACAGGGACTGTCTCTAACATGAAATGATTGGCCTGCTCTTTAATTACCTCCCCCTGAGGGGGGAGCAGCCTTACCAGGCCACAGAAGAAGACAATGCAGTCCCTCCTGATGAGACCTGATTGACTAGGATCAGAAGGAAGGGAGAAGGACCTCCCCCCTCAGTGGGACATAAGGAGGGACATGGGTAGAGAAGGGGGAGGGAGGGTGGTATTGGGAAGGGAAGACGTAGGGAGCTACAGGGGGATACAAAGTGAATAAAGTGTAGTTAATAAAGAAGTAATAATAATAATAATAAAAGTTACTAAAAAAAAAAAAAGAGTTGCTGTGGTCATGGTGTCTCTTTACAGCAACAAAACCCTAAGAGAGTTCCCAAACTAACTGAAAATAAGAATCATCTTGTAGCTGGTGGATATGGCTTGATGGCTCAGTGGGTGTAGGCTACTATTGAAGGTTATTAACCCACATCCCAATTGCAGTCATTCTCTGCTTCCTGGTCCACAGAGTTGTCAGCAGCTGCTGCTTTGCTCTCAGCCATTGCCGCATACGAAGCCACTCCGCCACGCCTTTCCCACTACAAAAGACTGAAACCCGTCTGCAACTGTGAACCAAAGTAAGCCCTTCCTCCTCGGTGCACATTGTCGGTCCTAATGACAGAAAGGTAACTAATGCACACATACCACATGTGCACACGTGTGCAAGTGTGTGGTGTGTGTGTGTGTGTGTGTGTGAAGTTTTGAAAAAGGCTTCAAGTGCCAGTTCAGCTGATACCCCAAATCTGCATGTTGATTCTAAATAACTAGCCCACATCTTTTGCAACTAAGGAATTGATGCGTATTTTTAAAATATGTGAGCCATTGCCTTTTTTTTCTCTTATCATGTGATGTTCATCCCAAACAATGATTGTTCTTACACAGGGGCAAAGAAGCAGGAAGAAAGAAAGCTGAACCTTTTCTTTTGAAGGGATGTTGGACGGTCAAAAATCACGGAAACGATTTCCACTTGAGAGAGTCAGATTTTGTTTCTGCCTGATCTTTTCTAGATAGCGCCTTGTGTCCAGGCCACATGCCCGGGGTCTACAGCACCACTGTTCAGTCGGTGTGAAGAGTTTCTCATTTGCTCCACTAAGCTCCAGCAGGACACACCAGTGATTCTAAGCGTGTTCAGCCTGCGCAGCACTTCCTTTTCAGTAGTGACTTTGGTGACTTTAAACCTTTCCTTTTGGTTGTGTTTTTCAAGCACGTCCCATAATTCCAGTCAGAAATCTTCTCAGAAAGGTAGCAGGCTTCAAAGAGTTCAAACCGCTGGGCAGTGGTGGCCCACACCTTTAATCCTAGCGCTCAGGAGGCAGTGGCAGGCGGATCTCTGTGAGCTCAAGACCAACCCGGATTTATAGAGTGGTTCCAGGACAGCCAGGGCTATACACAGAGAAAATCTGTCTCAGGGGGAAAAAAAAAAAAAGTTTAATCCATTATGGTGGGGAAGGCGTGGAAAAACAACACACAATATGGTAGGCAAGAAGCAGATGGACCAGGTACATCTTGTAAGGAATGACATGAGCCTGGCATGTTACTTACTGTTTCATCTTATACAAGAAGCTGATGCCCTGCTGAAATGGATGCTACTGCTGCATCTACAACATCTATCTATCCCACTCTTCTACCTTTTACACATAATCCTAATTTCATGCATGATTACCAGAAGCTCTTTGTCCTTCAGGAGAGGACGACGGCTCCCTCCTCAGTGCTGGGGTATGAATCCTAATTGGGATAAACCTATCACAGAGGCTGTCCTTGTCTTACCCATTACCTAAGCCATCTCAGCTTACAACCACCGTAACTCCAGTCCCACCGTAACGCCCTCCTCTAGCCGCTGCCAGAAATGCGTGCTGTCCATACATAAGCGCAGGCAAGACATTTATACATAGAAACAATAACTTTTTTTAAAAAAAAAATAGGAAAACCCAGTTTTTTTTATATTAAAGGTTTATTGGATGAAGATGGAGAGGGAAGGAGAGAGACATGTAGGGGTAGGGAAAAGGGTCGCCCTGACGGAGAAAGGGGAGGGAAAACCCAATTTTAAAGGCACGTCTGGAATCCGATCTGTCTGGGTCAGAGCGGCTTTGCTTTGTGCAACGACTAGGGCTGCAAATAGGGGACAATGCGGCTGCCGCGCGGAGCATAAAAAGCAGCTCCTTACTCCGTCCATTTGTTCAAGGACATTCACCCACAGGTTAATTCCTGTCAGAACCCGTTATGGCAGGAAAATCTGAACACGCAGCTGGAAAACTGGGGGAGTGGGAAGGGACAGGGGCGACAACGGAGCGGAGACACGCGAGGAGCGGCCGGGATCAAGTTCCCTCTGCGGGCCCGAGGCGCGGTGGTTCGGGAGGGCGGGGAACTAGCCCGTCTCTGCCCGCGAGCGGAAGGGGCGGGGCCGACGGAGGGTCGGGCGAGCGGGAGCGGAAGGGGCGTGGCCTGCCGCCGGTCATTGTGGCCAGTGAACGCTGCACGTGCTGTTCCCGGGCTCGCGCTGGCACTCCGGTTGACGGGAAGGTGGGTGGCGCGTCCTGAAGGGACCCCCTTCTCGCCCGCTTTCCGCCGGACAGCCCAGTGCTTCCCCTCGGGCCCGGGCCTACGCTGCGGTTTAACCCGGAAGTTAAAGGTAGGCGAGCGCGGCGGGCTGCGGAGGAGGGCGGCGTTGTAGCGGGTGTTTTGTTATCCTGGGAGAGCAGCTGTGGAGTCGCGCTCGGGGCCCTTCCTGGGGGAACTGAGGTATGGGGCGGCGGGAGGGGCGCTGAGAGCCTCGAGAACGCCACGCCAGGCAGTAAGGGGGTCAGGAGGAGTTCAGCACCGGGAGGACCGAGGCTTAGTTAACGGGTGTTAGTAGTAGGGGGAGGCAAAGGTTACTGACTAGGCCCCTCGACAGGGGTCAGATTTCTCTGGTCGGGAAATGGGGCTGAGTTAATGTGTAAGCTGGGCGACAGGGCGCTGCTTCTGCCGAGGCAGCGGGTGGCGAGTTCTCCTTATGCTCAGTGTTGGGGGCTTAGGGGCCGGGTTTCCACGTGAATCGAAGATCATACAGGTCTCTGCATGTGCTCCTACCCAAACATCAGATCGTGATTGTTCCATATCCCCAAGTAATAGCTTCTAAGTCATAGTCTGGTAATAGCTAGTAAGTAAATACCTAGTAAGTGCCTACTGTCATAATTCGTTTGAATTTAGAGTACTCCATCTTTTGAGAGCTGGTTGGTTTTTGTGTGTGTGTCCACAGTAGCATGTTTCTTAACCCAAGCATTTTACAGTTACATCCTCACTAAATTCATTCTTAAAGCCAAACCTTTCCACAATACCAGCTCAGAACAAAGCCCACAAATGTGTCTTTATGTTTGTTGAAAATTTCCGTATCCTAATGGGACCAAATGGCAAATACACAAAAATATTTTAAACAAATTCATGTTTAGTGCGAATTTTAAAATATTACTACCTTAAATGCAGACCAACACTACCTGCTATAAACAGTAACTTAATTTTTTCTTAATTAGCATTCTGCTAAATGCTCATGGTGTTCCATGCCTTTAATCGAAGAGTGGCAGAGGCAGGAAGGAGCTCTGTGACTTCAAGGCCAGCCTGGTCTACATAGCAAGTTCTAGCACTGTACATAGTGACCTTGTCTTAAAAAAACGAAAGAAAACAGGAAAAGTCTGTAACGTATAGCTTATTAAAATTGTCTGTGGCTGGGATGTAGCCCGGTAGTGGAATGCTTGTCTAGCCAGGCAAAGAACCTGAGTTCAAGATGCAGCACTGTCAGAAGGGGGCAAGGCTTGTAACTTGGTAGCAAAGTGAAAGTGTTTGCCTACCATTTTTAGAGCACTGAGTATATTCCCAGCAGTGAGAAAAGTTCTGGTATACATACAGAGTAACAAATTTAATCAGAACTGATGCATAATTAAAAAGGAAATAAGTTCACTGTGTAATTCATGTTAATAGTGCACTTACACTTCCCAAAATTTTTTCTGTCATTGGTGGTAGTATTTCTCCACAGTAGGAGGTTTGATTCTTCATGTTTTGTCAATTTATTTATTCTTGAGCCTGTTTCCTTTCAATGTTACAAGTTTTTAGAGATTTTTTTTCCTATGCTATAAGTTAATATGTGTTCATATCTTATAGGAAAGAAGAAGTTACTTGGGAAACTCCTTCCCGAGCACAAAATCCAGCTGTATTAAGCCTTTTGTAAGCTATTTCAGCTCAGAATGGCAATGGAATCCAGAGCAACTTCAACTTTAAAACCTCAGGATCATCAAGAAGAATTAATACTAGTGAAAATAGAAGATAGTAGCTTTTCTTGGAGTCAGAAATGTAAACAGAATGGGAGTACCCCATCTTGCCAAGAATTGTTTCGCCAGCAATTCAGGAAGTTCTGCTATCATGAAACACCGGGGCCCCGAGAGGCCCTGGGCCGACTCCAGGAACTCTGCTATCAGTGGCTAATGCCAGAGTCACACACAAAGGAGCAGATCCTAGAGCTGCTAGTGCTGGAGCAGTTCCTGAGCATCCTACCTGAGGAGCTGAAGCTATGGGTCCAAAAACATGCTCCAAGAAGTGGTGAGGAAGCTGTGACACTGCTGGAGGAACTGGAGAAAGAGTTTGATGATCTAGGGCAGCAGGTGGGAGCAAAGACATGATGTTGTGAGGAAAAATCTGAAGCCTAGAGTTTATAATACCTTTTCTGGTTAAAATGTTGTCTCTGAGGAACCACAACCTTGATATAACAGTAGCACATACTCTTTTTTTTCTACTGTTTTTAAAAAATTATTCACTTTACATCCCAATCATAGCCTCTTCCTTCCTCTCTTCCCAGCCCCACCTTCCTTTCCTCTTTTCTATATCCCCTTTCTCCTCCCCCTCAGAAAAGGGACACCACCCCCCAACCTACCCATCCCAGCACATCAAATCGTATCTGGACTGAGCACCTCCTCTACCACAGTGGCCTGGCCAGACAGTCCCCCCACATACACCAGGGGTAAGTGATCAAAAAGAATGCAAGAGAGTTCTTGTCAGAGACAGCCCCTGAGCCCCTTGCTAAGGAGACCCGCATGAAGACCAAGCTGTCCATCATGTACATATGTGTAGGGGATCTACATCCAGTTCATGAATGTTCCTTGGTTGCTGATTCAGTCTCTGCAAGCCCCCCTGGGCCCAGGTTAGTTTGCACTGTTGGTCTCTTGTAGAGCTCCTGTTCCCTCCAAGTCCTATCCTTCTCTCCCCCCCCCCCCCCTCTTCCACAAGACTCCATGCGTTTCACCCAATGTTTGGCTGTGAATCTTAGCATCTGTTTCAATTTGCTGCTAGTTGGAGCCTCATCTCTGCTTTATCTTTATCTGAACATCTTGTAGGCAGGGTAAATTTTGGGTCAAAGTTTTGGTGGTGTGTTGGTGTTTTCCTCTCTCTCCTTAGAGTCCTGTCTAACTCAGAGGGTAGTCTCTTCAGTCTCCATGTCCCCTGCTAGTAAGGGTCTCTCATAGAGTCACCCCCAAATCCTCCCAGAAGCCTACCCTGTTGTAGGTTTCCAGCCTATCTCAGAGATGCCCCAGGCCACAATTTCTTTTTTCTCTGCATGCCCTCTGTCCTCCTTCCCACCTCCTTCACTCTCCCCACATTAAGATCCCCACCCTCATTTCTCTCAGCACTCCCTTTCCTATCCTGTTCCCTCTCTTCAAGCACTTCCTCTGTCTTTTTTATTTCCTCTTCTCAGATTCATACACCCTCCCTTGGGGCCTTCTTGTTACTTAGCTTGTTTTGGGTCTGTGAATTGTACCTATACTCTATGACTAGTACCTGCTCTAAGTAAGTACATACCATGTGTGTCTTTCTGGGTCTGTGATCACACTCAGGATGATCTTTTTTACTTTCATCTATTTGCCTGCAAATTTCATGATTTCCTTGTTTTTAATAGTTGAGTAGTATTCCATTGTGTAAATATACCACAGTTTCTTTATCCATTCTTCAGAGGGACATCTGGGTTATTTCCAGTTTTTGGCTTATTATAAGTAAAGCTGCTGTGAACATAGTTGAGCAAATATCCTTGTATAATGGAGCATCTTTTGGGTATATGCCCAGGAACAGTAGCACATACTTATCCCTGCCCTTTTTCTCCCCCTGTGCTTTATCTGTGGCAGTGGCCTCATTAACCTCTTTGAAGCTTTTACTAAACACGTTTTACTGGTTTTAGGTCCCCGATAGTCCACAAGGACCATGGAAAGATTTGACATATCTCAAAACATCTCAAGATTCAACAAGCATCCAAGTTCGTCCTTTGAAGACACAGCTAAAATCCTGGAAACCTTGCCTTTCTACTAGAAGTGGTAAGAATAAAAACTTATCTTCAAGATTATGTAAGCTAGGCTTCTGGTTCTAAAGATGCAGATTGTATTTATAAATTTGTTGCATGTGAACATCATTGTATTACACAAAACCAGAGGTGTTCACTTCAGCAGCTTTGTATTCAGTGATCCTCCTGAGTTGTGGTCATCCTTCCTTGTATGAGTTTCCCTGTTGGTGACTTGTAACTTTGTAGAGTGCTAAAAATGTCTAATGCTGTGGTACATACAGCACAGCATCTTCAAGTAGAGAGAAAGGCAAATGCATCCTAAGTGCGGTAAGTTGTGGAATACAAGTAGACACTCTGTGGGTACTGGAATGAGATTCAAGGAAGGCTGGAAAGTTGGCTCAGTGGTTAAGAGCATTTTGCAGTGGCCCTAGGTTCAATTGCTAGCATCCACATGGCATTTTTACAACTGTCTGTCACTCTTATCCAACACCCTTTACTTGACCACCTCGGTTACCATGTATGCACATGATGCATGACATACATGCAGCAAAACAGCCATACACATGAACATGAAATAATAAATGTAAAAAATAAATAAAATTTAAAGAAATATTCAAGGAATACTTGCTGGAGGAAGAAACACCTGAGCTATAATTTGAACACTGAACAAGAGAAAGCCAGGTAAATAGGCAGTGCAAAACCAGTAAGGTGAGAGAATACAAACCATTATGGAAGTTATATGCACTTCAGTTTGACTTGCGAATTGATAAGGAAGGGATAATGGAAGAAAAACTAAAGGAAGAAATGACGCAGAAGTTGTTAAAGCCTTTATGTCACACTAATTCATACCATACTTGTAAGAGGTGCAATTGATAATGGTAATGGATAAAGCAGTGCTATTGTTAGATTTGTGGTTTAGAACTGAACTGCTGAGTACAGAAATGATTTGAGAAAGGCAAGATTAGAGGCTTATTAGAGACATGAAATCCAAGAGGTCACGGTAAATGAGGAAACCTGTGTTAATCTGAGGCGTAGAAATTAAAGCTTAATCCTATCCTTCAGCATTGAAAGTGCCATTGCATTAGCATTCAAAGCAGGTCTTTGAACATGATCACATTTCAGTCTTGAACAATTTGTTTAATAATGGTACTGTAAATATAAAAGAAAAAAATCTGATGTGTTTGGTATGGGACATTTGGGTTCAAATAAAAGCAAAAAATCCAATATGACAGTCTAGAGAATTGGAGACCTGAGAAGACATGCACTTAAAAATTAAATAGTAATTGAAATCTAGGGTAGAGATTTTCAACAGTGAGGATACATGAAAATCCAGGATACACTCTTGAGAGAACATGTTTGAGTTTTTTTGTTTTGTTTTGTTTTGTTTTTTTAGTTACAAGCCCTAAAATCTAAAATGAAAAGCAAAAAACAAACAAAACAAAAAACCAGATAGAAAAGGAGAGTCATATGTAGTGTCTCGCATCTTTAATTCTACCTTTGGGTGGCTGTAGGATTACCCTAAGTGTGAGGCCAGTCTGGGCTGCTGAGTGAAACCCTGTCTCAAGAAGAAAAATACAACAGTGATAGGTGTGGGTCTCAGTATCATGCTACAGAGGAGCTAAAGATCCAAAAAATACTCATTCAGTATATACAGTTATAAAATTGGTGGCCTTGACAAGACCACTGTCACTAGAAGTACCAGAACCAAGAAGAAGGTAAACTAGAAACCAGACCGCAGAATGGGAATGACTCCGGACAAACCCTTTTAAGAAATTTTACTGTGAATGCAAGTGATGCTGCTCAGCAGATACATGGGCAAGGAGCTTGGTTTTTAAGAGGTGACTTGTGCTTAAATTAATAAGACGGATTGTTTTGGGTTTTTATGATAAAATACCGAAGTTATAATACTAATAATGCTTCTAAAGTGATAGGAAATAGTTCATTTTACCTCCGAATTCCAGATTATATATTATGGAAGGGCAGTCTAGACAGCAAGAACTTGAAGCATCTAGTCACATCGACAGTAAAGAGCAGAGAAAGAATGTACATGCATGCCTACTACTGTGCTCATTTTCTCCACATTACACAATCCAGGACCCATATCCAGAAATTATACAGTCCATAATGGGCTGGTCCTTTCCATATCAGTTAACATAATCAAGATAGCCCCCCCCACCCCCCGTGCCAACAAACAAGAACACAAGCATTAACAAACGTGTGACAGTCCAACCTGATCTAGACAGTCTCACTGAGACATTCTTCCCAAGTGATCCTAAAGTGTGTCAGGTTGATAATTCAAAACTAATCATTGCAGGAAATCAGTTAGAAAGAGGTTGACAGGTGATCAGTTTAAGTCTTAAAGGGAGAAAAAGATGAAAGTCAAAAGGAAGATGTAGGTTTTAGCCCTGGAAAAGAGAAAAGATCCCGGGAATAGTGACATCTTTGTAAATAGATCCTTCTATTTTCTCTTACCTAAAAGACTAAGCTAGCTGTAGTGGAAAGTTGGGTAGAAGAATTCCTTGAGACCAGAGGTACTAACCAGGCTAACCTGTGGAACATAGCAAAATCCTTTCTATTTATTTAAAAAAGAAGATGACAGCTTGAGAATAACTGAAGAAATATAAATTCTGGGGTTTACTAATTTTCTTTTCTTTTCTTTTGCTTTTACCATTTCAGATTCTAAGAACAATGAAACAACAGCAAAAGAAGACATTTCAAAAGAAAAATCAGCGGGACTCTCTTGGGATCCTTCATTTAGAGGTGTCAGCGATCACGAAAGCAATTTAGAGTGGCAGGAAAGACGTTCCCCTCTCCACAGGGGCAATTTCAGTCAAGTGATCTTCACACACAAATCCTTAGCAAAGAGAGACCATCAGGATGAATCTCAAAGATGTGTAATTCTAAGTACAAACTCTGTAACATGTCAGAAAGTTTCTACAGAGGACAGACCTTACAGATGTGATATATGTGGGCACAGCTTTAAACAGCATTTCTCTTTAACACAGCATCAGAGGATCCATACTGGAGAAAAGCCCTATAAATGTAATCAGTGTGGGAAGGCCTTTAGTTTGAGGTCTTATCTTATTATTCATCAGAAAATCCATAGTGGTGAAAAGGCATATGAATGTAATGAATGTGGGAAAGCCTTCAATCAGAGCTCAGCCCTCACTAGACATCGCAAAATTCATACAGGTGAGAAAGCTTGTAAATGCAACGAGTGTGGCAAAGCGTTCAGTCAAAGTTCTTACTTAATTATACATCAGAGAATTCACACTGGTGAGAAACCCTATGAGTGTAATGAATGTGGGAAGACCTTTAGCCAGAGCTCAAAGCTTATTAGACACCAGCGAATTCATACAGGCGAGAGACCCTATGAATGTAATGAATGTGGGAAGGCTTTCAAGCAGAGCTCAGAGCTGATTACCCATCAGAGGATACACAGTGGAGAGAAACCCTATGAATGTAATGAATGTGGAAAAGCCTTCAGTCTGAATTCAAACCTCATAAGACATCAGAGAATTCACAGTGGAGAGGAGCCCTATCAGTGTAATGACTGTGGCAAAACCTTCAAAAGAAGCTCAGCCCTTGTTCAGCACCAGAGAATCCATTCTGGGGACGAAGCTTATATATGTAATGAATGTGGGAAGGCTTTTAGGCACAGGTCAGTGTTGATGCGCCATCAGAGAGTCCACGCTATTAAGTAATATAACACAATGACTTGTAAATACATCAGTATATTTTTCTCTATGTTAGCCAAAAGGTTGGCTTTGGAGTAAAATTCCATAAAGGTAGTTCATAAAAAAAACAAACGGTCTTTAGTCAGTCTAACTTGCTTTGTGCAGCACATCCCAGTGTTGGTGCAGATCTTCTTTGAAACTTGTGACTTACTGGAACAAGATATATGAGCATTACTTCAAACTTTGCTCTTAACATTAGGAATACTCAGAAAAAAAAAAAAGAAACAGTAATGTAATACTGAGACCTTCTATGAGAATGTCCTGGGAAAAGGCTTCATTCTGTGTGTTATGGCATCTGATTGTCAAGTGTCTGTGAGGTAGGTGGATGGTGAGAGGCTACTTAAGGAACTCAAAATAAGTGAGAAAACAGTTTCATTGATTTGTTGATTCAAGACAGGCCTGAAACAACATACAGTTAGTTTATACAAGTGGAGAGCCCCACCTGTACCCCAACCCCTCAGCCCCCTTTGTGCTGGGAAGTGAGCTTAGGGCTTCACTGCTAGGCATGGGAAGTAGTCAGTACTATGTTTTTGTTTTTTGCTTTTTCTTTTTTAAATACCTATTTTGTGCCAGGGACTAGGAATACAGTGGAGAGAAAAAGATAATTTATACAGTCTAGTGGCCATTACCAGTTAGGTGAAGTACTTTTTAAGCACTTTCTGCATTTCCTTGTCCAAGAACTGAAATGATAGGAAGATTGAGGAGTTGACCAGGAAGGAAGGCCAGGTAACAATAAAGGAAGACGGGGGTTTTTTTGTTTTTGTTTTTTTTTTTTTTGTTTGTTTGTTTAATGCCAGAAATAAAACATGGAACATTGCCTATTGAGTTGAGAATTAGAGTCACCTGTGTGAGAAGCATGACTGCAGCGACTCTGAAGCACTGCATAGGAGCCTATGAAGAAGTGGCTATTTGTACGTAAAAACCTGGAGTCTCTGGTCCGAGCACCGGGAAGAGCTTTGTCTTCGACAATGTGGCCTAATGGGAAAAGTTAATAAGTAGTTCCTGACACAACCTGAGACAACATTTGAATTTCTACCGAGAGTGGTAGGAGTAGGTTCTTTAGAGAGTATTGAACAGCAATGGTAGAAGATGCCATAGCAACTGTATATAAGACCATTTCTCCAGCTAAGCAATTGCCTGTGCTCAGGTGCTCAAAAATTGTTGATTTCTGGGTCTTTGACTTTTTATTCAAATACCTCACACATACTTTGTTTTATGCGAGCAATATCTGGCAGTATCTTGAAAATTTTAAGGACAGTGCTAGAGAAGTGACAACAGAAAGTAGTAATTATTGTTAGGACTTTCCCTCCTCTGAGGAGTCCATTAGGAAAAGCATCCTAAGGCTGCACACAGTGCAAGGTAAAAAGTTGATCAGCTCAAGAAGTCTTGGCATCCCTGTACTCTGGAGAGTAAGACAAAAGAAACAAGTATTCCTGGCCAATTTGAGCTACATAATGGGACCCTTACTCAAAATACTGGAGAGAAAAAAATTCAAAGACCTAATAGTTTGGAGGAATAACATACCTTAGCAAACTCAAATCTATGTAAAAAAAAAAAACTATGAGGATACTGTCTTGGACATTTACAGGTGTGTACTAAACAATAAAAATGAGCTAACTGCCTAATGTAGGTGTTAAGTAGGATAATGTTAAAAAGGGAAATACTGCAGAGTTCTTCCATAGATCAGAAGGAAACTAACAGGTATTTACCAAGGGCTTTGTGCTGGTCACCAGTACAGATCATATTTTGTACATGGGAAATGGAAGCTGACATAGCTACAAGGTCAGAATTTGAATTCAGAACCCTCTTCTGGAAGCACTTGATACCATCCAAGAAGTTCCGTTAACATTTAAGCAAATCACAGAAGTGCCAGTGAACAACATAGATGTCCAGTCTTCTAAGTTACAGTCATTGGGATGAAGATAGTATTTGCTTTCCATATAGAACTAACAAGGATCCAAGCAGATCATGGCTCTGATAGGAATACGTATCTCTGGCAACACCAGGAGCCTTAAGCACTGCCCTTGCCTTTGAAATTTCTACCCAGAAATACACTTTAGCCACGAGTATGCAGCCTTAGAAACTGTTAAAAGATGTTAAAAATTCATGATATGTTAAATATACAATATATACAACATGATCCCACGTAAAATATGCATTAAAAATAATGGAAACATACAATGTCAAGATGTTATACTAGTTATATCTGGGTGGTAATAGGCTTTTCTTTTGTATTTCAAGTTTTATTACAAATCTAATGCTTATAGAGGAAGGGGTTGGAGAACACAGTTCAGTTGTAAAGCCAAAGTTTACCATGACTATTAAAGTCCCAGGCTTAATCCCTAGATCCCCAACCCTAGGTGAGGCCGGTAGGGAACAGTCCCAAAATATTTGTGAAAACAAGCACTTGCTTTCTATGACAACCCTGTCTCAAGTCTTAAACATAACAGAGATCTTTCACTGTTGATAAAAATCAGTGCAGACTTACCTTCTTCATAATAGAATAATCCCCTGTGAAGTAGCTTGATTTTGGCTGAGAAAAGCAAGTGCTTCTAAGTGATTAAGAACTTCTATCATGATTGAACCCGCGGGCGGCGGCAGCGGTTTGTAACTCTGAGGCCAGGCACAAAGGAGACTGCCCTAGGGGATCGGGCAGGGCGGACTCATCATGCCGGCCTTTGGGCGCGGGTATCGGGGTCCCGACCTGAATGCAGTGTCACTGCCAGCAAGAGGGGCAGGGGCGACCAGGAGGGTCTGGACCACCGGGGTCGGAGCGCAGAGCGAGGTCAGCCTGCGCTCGCAGCTTGCCAGAGCGCAGGGCTGAGCGGCCAGGGGCTCGGCTGCCCACCCCGCCCCCTTCCCCCACCTTCCCCTGGTCGCTCGGGGACCCCATCCGTCGCCCCCTGTGTCCTCCTCCCGCGGCAGTGGCCGTGCCGGTGTGTGTGTGTGGCGGGGAAGGCGCTGCCGGACCTGGCCCAGGTGGGAAAGGCCTTACTCTGCTTCATGCGCATTTCATGTCCATCTACCCCTAAACAAGGAGGCAACAAACAGCCCTAAAGCAAGCTCCCTAGAGTCTCTGAAACCGTTGAAGGGGTGGATCCTAGCCTGATCGACTTGGAGACATTCTCTGAACTAGATTATCCCAAGTAGGAAGCACTCCTTTGTGCGCAAGATCATGATGATCCAGCCATAGATGTAAGAAACTGCTTGGAAAATACCCAAAAGTTGATGCTAGATGACTTAAAGATGACAAAAAGGTTGGCATTAATCCTAAAATTAATAATTTGACTTCAGCATATGAAGTTGAAAAATATGGTCCCATACAGATTTGTGATAATGGAGTAAGAGTCATTTCAAACACATTTAACATGGTCAGTCGGGTGTGGTTCATGAGCTGTCTTACATAGCAGACAGACAGGGCTTTGCTAACATGTTAGAGCAGTCATATTCTGGAACTCCACCCCCAAGAGCCTATATTTCTGCCAATGTAACTGGCTTCAAATATGTGACAGGAATGTCTTGTCTCATGAGGAGGGATGTCCTAGGTGCGGCAGGAGAGCTGAGGGCACTTGCTCAGTACAGGGCTGAAGATTACCTTATAGCTAAAGCAATAGCCGACCAAGGTCGGAGATTTGCAAGGCCTACTCGAGTTGCCATGCCTGGGTTCAGATGAGATGTCATGGCTTTCTTCACGTGTCATTGCCTGGCATGGGTGCTATCTGACCACGTTCAACTCAGGGTGTCCAGGGCAGCACTCTGTGTTTTTCAAAACAAAATTATGCTGTGGCTTGGTTCATCTGTGAACCCACAACAATACACATTCTCTTGTTGGCATTATGGAACCTTGCTATGAGCAGGGGAACTCATTGCTACAGGCTGTGTTGTGGAGGAGCAGCTGAGGAAATCCTAGATGTGTAACAAGTTCTGTGAGTGTATACGTGACAGAAGTATGATAAATTATGTTTATAGAAATGCTTTCAAGGATCTACCTTCAAGAGTTTTATCACATGTATGTTTTGGTATGTGCCCTTTATTTGCATGGCACTTGTGTCTGTGAAAAGAAGAAAAAAACAAAAAACACTAGTCTTGGCCAAATAGCGTATTTTGTGGAAGTATAAAATCAAGACACTTGGTTTTAGGAAACTGGTTTGTTTGTTTTTTTAACAAACCTATCTGTCCATCCATCTATCTACCTACCTATCTGTCTACACACCTACACGTGACTGCTCTGCAGCAGACACCATGACAGTACCCTTCAGTAGGGAAAGTTTCTTATATGACTGTACTCACTCGGAGGTCTGTATGGGCAGGATAGCAGCAGCTCTGTGAGAAGGGAACGAGCCATGGCCACCCCTGTGTGAAGTGAATGATGTGTGCCAGGAGGGGTACACTGAAAAACTATTTCATGCTTTATGCCTACCTCTTGTAGTTGTTGCAGAGCAAACAGAAGTTAGAAACTGTGACACAGTAGGTAGACCTTGCAAAAACAAATGGAAGACTTTAAAATAATAATAAAAGAGCTGGAGTCTAGTATTTATATGAATCTGTGAGGTTTTATTTTTAATTTCTTTTTAATTTTTTTTTTTTTTTTTTTTTTTGTCTCACTGCAATGAACCAAAAGTGGCTGAGATTGGTTTTTAATCATAACCATGAACTGAAGGCATCTTTGGTACCGACTGTTGGTTCTGTCTGAACCCTGTTAACCACTGTGCTAAATCTTCCCCTCCCTATTCTTCACCCAGCTTACTCCATCTTTCCTTAGCTTTTTTCCAGGGGTGGGGGCTGATATTTATTTATTTATTTATTTATTTATTTATTTATTTTTACTGCAAGTGGATGTTTTGATAGTTTTAAGGAAAAATGAATTTCAGACACAGTTCACACAGGAGCTGTTTTCTTACCAATATGTCTGTATTGTTAAATAAGAATATAAATTTCACGATACAGGTATTTAATATCTTTTTTAAGTAAGTAAATATTCTAGTTATCAGCAAGCTGCAGTAGAGAATTAAGGGAGGACATAGTGAAGCTTACTGTTAAAATCAATCAATATCAAGCTAAGTCTTGATAGTGTATATGGGTTGTTGTTTTTTACTGTAATAGTCTAGTTTTATTTAAGTTGAATTTCTGTATTCAGTTTGTATGACAATAACTAGGTGAGCCTAGTTATAAATGCATGCTGTACTCTCCTCTCTCCATCACGCAGCTAAACTTGCTTGTCAGCCTGTGCTTAACTTGTGGTGAACTGGACTTCTGTTTAAAATAAGCAAAATTGTAAGGAACAGAGGATTAGCCTCCCGTCCCCACCTCACCCCCGTCTTTTTAAATGGTATTTTGCTGTTCCTTCAGAATTTGGTGGCATCTGATGCCTGCTGTTAACACCAACACTGTTATGGCAGCTTCACATCCTGTTACCGTGGCTTCCATGTGAGCGCTTAGCACGTAACGCACTAGCAGTAACTGCTCCTATTATAGAGGACATTTTCATCTTACTGAGCCAGTCCCTTTGCCTATGACTATACACACGGTCTAAATCGCAATAGATGTGCAATAGTGTATATACTATAAATACACAACATACTTAGATTTTTCTGGGCCAAACTGTTATCCTTCTGTCTCTCTTTCTTCTCCCCTCCCCCTTCTCTCTCTCCTGCCTTAGGATGAATTTGTTCGAAGGGCATTTCTCCATGGATGTAGATGCATATTCCTTTTTCCCCCCTGTGAAATGGGTAATATTGTCCCCTGAGGAAAGTTGCACAGTGGAAACCAGTCTAGTTATGACCCACTACATGTCTGTTCTTTTTAATCACTCTTCCATGAGTTGAGTTTTGCTGAGTATGTGTGTCATTTGTCAGTTTGTTTAATGGAGTTTGGTGGATGCCATTCTTTGCACTGCTGAAGTGAGATCTTGCTGACTAGTTAGCTTGCTGACTAGTAGTTCAAAAGTTAATTTTTTGTTGATCCCAGTATGGGCCAAGAAACAAAATGCAAACGGCTGGACAGACTTCTTGTGTTCTGTAAATAATTTTTTAAATGTTCTGTATGTGTGTTTTATGTGGTCATGGAGTATTTCCTTAAAGCAAAACTTAAAGTATTCAGACAGTTAACTGTTTGTTTAGCAAGTTTGGAGTGAAGATAAAATAGTAAGAAATACTGTAAATGTCAAAGCATCACAGCAGAACTGTAGGAGCCCATATTTACAATAAACTGTCTTAAAAAAAAAAAAAAAGAACTTCGATCATTACTGTTTTTCCATGAATTCAATAGGTACAAAAACAAGTTATCCACAACTATATTCTCATGTTAAAGGATCCGAAGATGATGATCTTACGGACAAGTGGATGCCAACATCAGCTGAAAGGAAGTTTTGTCTTTCAACCGCCTTTTCTGAAAGCAAATAACTAATGCCTTTCCCTCTGCTCCTTCATCTGAAAAGTGTGTAAAGCAGCACTTGCCTTACATGAATTTTAAATCAGTTTTATCCCTTCTCTTTCTCCCTCATCAGCCTGCAACCAAAACTGAGAGGATTGAATTTTTAAGGCATTTGACAATGACTTGATAACTTACTTCTATTTCTAAACTACTGAAGAAAAAAGTCACACCTAGGCTTCACTTAAAACCCTGTCTCAAAATTACCCAAAACATGGGGCTAGAGAGACAGCTCGGTGGCTAAGAGCAGGCACTGCTCTCGCAGAGGACCAGAGTTCCATCCCAGAACCTACATTGGTTTACCTCCTGTATTTCCACATCACGGAGATTTGTGCTCACTTCTGGCTTGTACAGGCATTTGCATTCATATGCTCATAACTTAAAAAACAGTCATCCCAAAGGTCTTTCTTAGTACCTGGTATTGAAGAAGGAAGGTGTCTTGGTAGATTTAGTATATATGTGAATTTAAAAGGTTCTTGCTCTCATTCCCATGTTCCACCCTTAAAGTCTGGCTGTCAGAGCTTCCTGATACTGTTTATTTGACCTAAAAATAGAAACTAAAGGTGCTACTTCCCTTTTTTCTACCCTTCCCACCCTCCAGACTAACTCCATTCATGTTGTGGTCCTTTACCTGAATGATTTAAAAGCAAAGCTTTAAATTTTCAGTTTCATTACAAAATATCCCCATTGCGTGCTGGTACTATACTACTAAGCAGCTGAACTGCATATTGAATATATAAATGTTAAAATTAACAAAAAAATATACTGAAGATTTTCACCAAATATATTCGGATTAGGGAAGAACACTAACAGGAAGTAGTTCAAAAGTTAATTTTACTATGCATAGTGGGATTATGGGTATTTGTACTTATCAACACTCACAATTAGAATAGGAGTTAAATGATATTTAAACATTGAATCAATGGAACCAAATAGAAGACCCAGAAAAATAAACCCACACACTTATGGAAACTTTTTAACAAAGAAGCCAAAACCATTGAATGGAAAAAAGACAGCATCTTCAACAAATGGTACTGGTCCAACTGGATGTCTATATGCAGAAAAATGAAAATAGATCCATATTTATCACCCTGCACAAAACTAAAGTCCAAGTGGATCAAAGACCTCAACATAAAACCAGACACATTAAATTGCTTAGAAGAAAAAGTGGGAAAGACCCTAGAACTCATCAGCACAGGAGACTACTTCCTGAACAGAACACCAACAGCATAGGATCTAAGAGCAACAATCAATAAATGGGATCTCATGAAACTGAAAAGCTTCTGTAAAGCAAAAGACACTGTCATCAAAACAAAATGACAGCCTACAGACTGGGAAAGGATCTTCACCAACCCCACATCTGACAGAGGGCTAATATCCAGTATATATTATAAAGAACTCAGGAAGTTAAAAAGCAACAAATCAAGTAATCCAATAAAAAAAATGGGGTACGGAGCTAAACAGAGAACTCTCTGTAGAGGACTGTAGAATGGCAGAAAAACACTTAAAGAAATGCTCAATGTCCTTAGCCATCAGGGAGATGCAAATCAAAACGACCCTGAGATTTCACCTTACACCCATCAGAATGGCTAAGATCAAAAACTCAAGTGACAACACATGCTAGAGAGGTTGTGGAGAAAGGGGAACCCTCCTCCATTGCTGGTGGGAATGCAAACTTGTACAACCACTTTAGAAATCAATCTGGCGCTTTCTCAGACAATTAGGAATAGCACTTCCTTAAGATCCAGCTATACCATTCCTAGGCATATACCCAAAAGATTCTCAAGTACACAACAAGGACATTTGCTCAACCATGTTTGTAGCAGCTTTATTTGTAATAGCCAGAACCTGGAAACAACCTAGATGTCCCTCAGTTGAATGGATACAGAAATGGTGGTATTTTTACACAATGGAATACTACTCAGCAATTAAAAACGAGGAAATCAGAAATTTGCAGGCAAATGGTGGGACCTAGAAAAGATCATCCTGAGTGAGGTATCCCAAAAGCAGAAAGACACACATGGTATATACTCACTTATATAGACCTATAAGATAGGATAAACATACTGAAATCTATACACCTAAAGAAGATAAGCAAGAAAGAGGACCCGGGGTAAGATGATCCTCACTTAGAAAGACAAATGGATGGACATTGGATGTAGGAGAAAACAAGTAACAGGACAGGAGCCTACCACAGAGGGCCTCTGAAAGACTCTACCTAGCAGTGTATCAAAGCAGATATTAAGACTTATAACCAAACCTTCAGCAGAGTGCAGGGAATCATATGCAATAAGAGGGAGTTAGTAAGACCTGGAGAGGACAGGAACTCCACAAGGACTAAATATATCAGGGCACAGGGGTCTTTTATGAGACTGTTTCTCCAACCAGGGAACACTTGTGGAAATAACCTAGAACCCCTGCTTGGATATAGCCCATGGTAGCTCAGTATCCAAGTGGGTTTCCCTAGTAAGGGGAAAAGGAACTATTTCTGACATGAACTCAATGGCTGGCTCTTTGACCCCCCTCCCCCGAGGGACGAGCAGCCTTGCTAGGCCACAGAAGAGGACATTGCAGCCAGTCCTGAAGAGACCTGATAAGCTAGGGTCAGATGGAAGGGGAGGAGGTCCTCCCCTATCAGTGGACTTGGAAAGGGGCAGGGAGGAGATGAGGGAGGGATGGTGGGATTGGGAGGGAATGAGGGATGGGGCTATGGCTGGGATACAAACTAAATAACCTGTGATTAATATAAAAAAATAAAAATTATTATAAAAAATAAAAATAAAACATTGAATCATTCACTTGTCACCTATAAGAAAAGGCATTCACTGTACATTTGAATGATCCATTTATGTTAGATCTTAAATGATAATTTCACAACTTTTGAAAGTGAGAATTATATCCAAATTTACTTCCCCTACTCACAATAGCTATTATTACCAAGTCTTCAAAAATGGTACATTCTCCTAGGTAGAAATTACCCTCAGTAATTGTGGAATAAAAACTGCCAAATTAAAATCAAGGAAGAGTTCTGTAGACTCTGAAGGACTGACTCAAAGTATATGTCCCTCAAGGGGCTTGCTATCTGCAAACATAACACTGAGGACACCTCTCCAGACTGCCCTTCAGCTTCCAATGCATGTTTCCCTGGTATACACACATGACTTTACATTAGAAACACCAGCTTTGTGTGTGTTTTTTTTTTTTTAACCACACTAATTCTAACATTTCTGGATCATATAGGTCACTTGTGATCTGAAACAGGTTATCCAACTCAGGTTGTTATGACGAGGAAGAAACCAACCTGGCTTCTGAACTAAGGTCAAAGACAACTCCAGCAAAACCCGGAGTGAAGTCACGATACAGGAACATCTCCAGATCCTCTCCACGCCACAGGTGTGTTCTAACCTCTGCCTCTATTCTCATCATTAGCCAAGCTAATGTCTATATTTTAGGTCTCAATGGGCTATCACATCCAAGAAATCTTTAGTTAACTCATAGATCACATAACATCCCTGATAACGTCTTCCAACCAAACCCTGAATTTATCTGGCAAAGTATTGCCACACTCTCACTGTAATAACTTGCTTAATAAATAAGTATATCCCAATAGCCCTTAACTTTGAGAGGACGATGGCAATGAGCAAGCCTGTTCTCCCAATGGTTAAGCCCAGCAGATACCAAAGTAGAAAGTAGACCACAAGGAGACATTTGGGGTTGAAAGAACTGGCAAAGGGGTAAAATGAGCTTCCATTCCTCTGATATTATTAAGCTGATCCAGAACATGACATTTCAGAGCCTCAATTCAACATTTCAGGGTTCGGGAACTCTTAAAACATGACTACTTTGGCTGGACAGTGATCCTTGCCACCTGATAAGGAGATCTTGCAGGACCTGTGCCTCAATCTTAGAGTGACATGAAGGGACTCAATGGCAGCTCCATCTGGAGTGGAGAATGGGAGGAAGAGCATATTGGTGAGAGTCCGCATTCAGAAATGGGTCAGTCTTTTATTTATTTTATTTTAGTAAATAGCATTCTTTTTAGACAAGATTTGGATAAAATTCTTCTCTTGATATGCAAGCATTTTATGTGGATCTCTTTACAGAATAGAACTGGGCTGGAAAGACAAAGTCCTGCTATCGGGAAACTTCTATCTTCTGAGGAGACTTTCCTTCAAAGTGAATCCTTTGCATTTCACTCAACCACTTCCCCACAGAGCTGACCTTTGGTATGTGCTCTCTGATGCTGCATAAGGCCTGACCTCTGCCTAATATTTTCCTACATTCATTACACTCATAGAGCTTCTCCCCTGAGTGGATTCTCTGGTGCTGGCTGAGTGCTGAGCTTTGATGAAAGGATTTTTCACATTCATTACCTTCATAAGGCTTCTCACCAGTGTGGATTTTGTGATGTTCCATAAGAACAGAACTTCTCCTAAAAGCTTTACCACATTCAGCACAATCATAGTCTTTGTCTCCACTGTGAATCTTCTTGTGCTGAATGAGAGCCGTGCTCTGGCGGAAGGCTTTCCCACATTCATCACAACCATAAGGTTTCTCTCCAGTATGAATTCTCCTAGGCCTAATGAACTCTGAGCTGCCTATGAAAGCTTTTTCACAGTCACAGCACTTATAGGGTTTTTCACCACTGTGAATTCTCTGATGTCTAACAAGGTCTGTTTTGCAACCAAAGGCTTTTCCACATTCTTTACATGCATAAGGTCTCTCTCCAGTATGGCTTCTCTGATGTCTAATCAGCTTTGACCTGTGGCAAAAAGCTTTCCCACAATCCACGCACTCATATAGCAGTTTCTACTTTGTGAGTTCTGGGCCACGTAGCACCATGTGAGTTTAGACTGAGAATTCATTCCTTCACTTTCATTACACTCAAAGATGTTCTGTTCTGTAGGGATTTTCTTGTCAAAAGCTGCCAAGTTGAAATAGCTTTCCTGGGAAGAAAGCTGACTCATTTTGTTGTCTGAATCATCCCTTCCTCTTTGCTTCTCATTGTTGTCCAGATATCCCTTGGTTTCTTCAACTACCTGTACTGGAGACGTTTCCCTAGGAAGTCTTCTTGGAGATGCCATGGCCACTGACACAATACATTCAATAATTTCTTGCTTTGCTGTCAATACTTTGTCAGTCACCATCTTGCTATCTAAAAATGTCAACAGGATGTGTCATTTTTTTCATGTTAAAAAATGTTATAAAATGAAAAGCAAATAAACCAAAGGAAAAGGGTAAGTAAGTGCTGGGTCTTGCAGACATGGTTTGGTTCTCTTGCAGAGGACCCAGGTCAGTTCTCAGCACCCGTAAGTTGGCTCACAACCATCCCTAACTCTAGTTCCAAGAGATCCAATACCCTCCTCTGGCCTCTGTGAAACCAGACATGCAGGTGGTGCATACATACATGCAGGCAAACACTCATACAGTTTTCAGAAAAAAACAAACAAAACAAAACAGGGATTGACATAGTGGCAGGGTGCGTGCAAACATAAGGCCCTGGGTTTGACCTCCAGGACTGGGGAAGGGATATGGGAGGGAAAAATGACAATTAGCTTCCCAATATAGAAGAACTCAGAATAAAATGGACAAAGAACATAAGTCAGTATTGGAGACGTTGAACACTCAACAAGAAAACAATACTTAGAGTGACAAACAGTTACTATCAGCCATAAGCCAGAAAGGGAAGAGACAATTCTAGATTAGATATGAGAGAGGAGAACAGGTGAGGTGATACAGAATAATGAGGAATAAGATCTCCTCAGAGCTGTAGATCAGCAGGACATCTAACAAAGTAGAAGAGCACATGATACCAAAAAATGTCTGGGGGATAAGTATTAAACAAAGGAAGGTGGGCAGGAAACAGAAAAGCAAGAAGGCATTTGCAAAATCTGGCAGGTTCCAAATAGGGCAAATAAACATAAGCAATATAGAAAGACAAAGCATTTACAAAGAAATACTCTGGGTTCCTTATTTATTCTGGGTTAGGTAAGAGTGTTAGTAATTCACCTCACAAGCATAAATGGCCAAAAAAAACGCATGCAAACAACCACCTAAAGGGAACAAATCCAGCTATCACATACTATATCCTTCCACTTCTAAGTATTTACTATCTCAAAACAGTAACTACCAGAGACAGTTAATATAAATTGAACTATTTTAAGGGTAAAATCGGAACTGCTATTTTTATTCCTTGAAAAATCTTCTAAAAATATGCATTTTACAAATCAGGAAACTGGAGCTTTTAAGGGTTTTGGGGAGCTATAGGATTACTACTTGGTAGTCAAGATTAAAGATGGCTAATTTCATATTTTAAGGTCTTTCCCCAAGTTACCTGTCTTTTTAGAAGCAGAGCTGTAAGTTTCAATTGAGGCCAAAATAATAATAATAATAAAATTTTAAATTCATTTTAATTGATCTTTGAAAAAGTGCTGCTTTTACATGAAAATAAGTATTTCTGATATTCAAGTTTCACAACACCTTGAAAACAGTAAAGCATTATAGTGAATGGCTGGCAAGAGCTGAGAACAAGTTGGCTTCCTTTTTTATCATTCCTTATGCAAAATTAGAGATAGCAAATATAAGATCTGAACAATGAAATTCGTACTGTACTTGGATTTCAGAAAGTTAAATCATTAGTTATGTCGACCTCTTATTCCAGGTGGTGCTTATCTTTGAAAGTTATAGAAAAAGGCTAGGTAGTGACACACATCCTAAATCCCAGCATCCAGGAGATAAAGACAGGCAGATAGATATTTGAGTTTGAGGCCAGCCTCGTCTACGTAGTGAGTGCCAGGCTAGCCAGGGTTACACAGTAAGAGCTTGTCTCAGAAAAAAAAAAAAAAAAAAGATAGTTGCCAGACATCGTGGTGCACAACTTTAATCCCAGAACTCAGAAAGCAGAAGCAGATGAACGTCCATGATTTCCAGGCCAGTCTAGTCTACATAGCAAGACCCTGTCTCTAAAACAAAACAACAGCAATACAGTAAGTGCATGAAGTGAAATGATGAGACCAGAGAAAATTAGATGCATAAGTAAGAAAAACAATTTTTTTTCCTGTTCCCAAAAAGACAGCAGGCAGAGTAGATAAGGAAGCCTTTAACCTCATGTCCAAAAAGTATAGTCATATCCTAAGGTACTAAGAGCTAGAGCGTCAACCTCTGGTGCAATACCTAAAAGAAATTAGAGTAGAATCTGCCAGGATCTTAAACCTAAGAGGGCCAGGTTTATAGCACAGAGCTTTTAATCCAGGCACTCGGAATGCAGGAACAGGGCTCGTCTCTATATTAACTATTAGGTTCAGGACAGTAGCAAAACTATCTCAGAAACAAAAACAAAAACAGAGAGAAAAGGAGGGTGGAGTAGATCTATCCTAAAAGATTTAGACATTGTTATGGTTTGGATGCTGTTTGCTCTCTAAGGCTTATCTGTTGGCATCTTGGCAGCCAGTAGGTGATGAAGCAACTGATGGAGCCTTTAAGAGGGCAGGCCTACTAGGGGATTCCAAGGTCAAGTGCAAATCTCTCAGGAAGGATTAAGATATATTCCAAAGAACTCTTGCAAGGACTGCCTGCAAAGTTGCTGCCTCTGCTTCTTGCGTTTGTGTGACTGCTTGTTTCTGTCTATACTCTCATAATCAACATCATGATACAATGCTGCAGAAAGAGCCCTAACCAGATATGAGCCAATGACGTAACATAGCCTTAACCTCTAAGTGAATGAGCTAATAAACCACTTTTTTCCTTTTTAATGTTAATTTGGGTGTCTCACTATACGGACTAAAAACTAATACAAACATTTAGCTATTATTATCTATTAGTAGATAGTTCCCTGTAAGGCAAGGGCTATGATAAGATCATTTTTCAAGATGCATTTAATGGGCCTCCTCCTCAATACACCGGGTATTCAGGAGACACTATCAGAGCAGGTAAGTGGAGGAAGGAGGGCCCCAGGAGATATGATTGCTTTGGTGACCTGACAAAGCCTAAGATCAGGCCCTCAGGCTTCTGACCTCTTATTCCTAATTCTATCAAAACACAATGAACAGGTCTACCTCCTTGGGTGGACTCATAGTAAGCAAGCTCCTGTAACTATGCACTATAACCATAAATAAGAATGAGTGATGTAAATTACATAGACTTGCCTGAACCAGTCATTCTCTTAATAGAGTTAAACTTCATGAGAGGGTAACAAGTTTGCTTGGTGAAAATGAAATCAGAAGCTCAGTTAGATAGAACAGGCTAATACATCTGATGTGGCTACTGTCCATATAGATGGATGTTGCCAATAAGTTAAAGTCCTTTCGGCTCAAATTCTTGGCACCTGTGATACTTTCCATTTATTGCCTCCTAGTTTCAAATGTATCATTGTCCTATCTGTGATACTGGCATCAGGCTAGCACATGCATTTATCTGTTGAGGGAGTTGGAAGGACAGTGGAGGAGACTTATCAGTTCATTCTTGCAGAATGTAAGACACCCAACAACACGCACCCCAACAAATTTCAGAGAAACTATCCTCCTTGGCAGCTTCCCCGCAAATGTCACACTAAGTCAAATTTTCTGGTGGGCTTCTGGTACCCTAAAGGTGGCCTCTACTGAATCTAGCCAGCTGAGGGTTTCAGAGAACATCTCTATCTCCATCAGTGACTGTACCCTCTCTAACAGGTCAGGATCTCAGGCCTAGCAGGAGCAGATGAACATGGCACCCGCTTGCACATGTGTTCTTCTGAGAACTTTCTAACTTGGCCCTGTATGTTCTAGAGTCTGGCTTTTAGTTACACTCCATAGTGGCTAGTGCCTTGCTGCTTTTCTTCTCTTTCAGACCACCTCCTTATGTAATCCAGGCTGTCCTAGAACATGTAACCCTCCTACCTCTCAGCCTTTCAGGTTGGCATTGGTATTATAGGTATGTGCCACAGCATCTGGCTTGCAGCTGACAAATTTTAATGTCGTTTTCCCTTTTCCAAACTATTGTGAGACTTTAGTTACTGACACAGTATTCTTGTCCCTCTTAGAAACTGTCTTGTTAGTATAACAAAAATACTTTAAAAAACAGTATTACTCTTGGAATATGGTATTAGAAAATCATATAAAAGACTTTTATTCTTAATCCAAGTTAAAAATGATATTGAAATTTCAGAGTCTAGGCTGAGCCAATTGAAAACTATTTCAAGCCAGCAAGACTTTCCACAATACTTAGTGACAGTGCTGGTGACAGTCATTAACAAAATAAGCCTTGGCACATTTGATAGTCCTTACCTCCATCCTTAACCTTAAATGGTAGGGTTGCTCTTCTCTCTCATGGAAAACCTGGGGCTCCTGCGGTTCAGTCCTGCAATAGTTCTCCAAGGACTGCAGTGGGCTACTCAGAGACTTTGGTGTGCCCATGACTGTCATTTCTTTGCAGATCATTTCTTGGCTGTGAGCTGTGTCCTAGAGTAACAAGTACTGTGCCTGGGGATATACAAGAGAAAAACGCTACAGCAATGGGGCAAGACAGAAGACCCAGAAAACTGTCAAGATGACCAGAGAAAAAAAAGAACAGCACTACAGCCCCCCA